ACTACTACTACTACTCTCTCTCTCTCTCTCTCTCTCTCTCTCTCTCTCTCTCTCTCTCTCTCTCTCTCAAACACACACACACACACACACACACACACAATTTAACCTAATGATCCTCAGCTATCTCCAAGCCTCGGTCTCCAAACAGGCCTGGCATATGCTAAAGCTTTAAAAGAGCGAGCAGTAGAGACGGGTTCTCTGCCATGCCTACCAGCCACGGATTGATAGGACAGGGGCATCAGACATCCACCGCCTTCCCCTATTAACCCCCAAGGCAAAACGCCTCGGATTCTTTTGGCCACATGGATTCTATTTACAAGGGTGGGGTCCATCCCAGCTCCGCCAACAAAAGAGAGGGCTAGCCAAAGGAGGATGGATGGGTTAGGGAGGGTATAGACACAGCACGTTCAAGCTGTTTCATAACACGTCAGCCAGGGTTGCTCTCCCCATGGAGACTAATGTGACTTTAGGCACCCACACCCTTCCCTCTCCCCTCCCCCTCCTCAAAACGCTCCTCTCCCCCCGGTAACTGAAGGTCTGATCAGATCACAGGAGCACTTAATTTGCAAATATGGAAAGCAGGGACAGAAGAAGGCAATCCCTTGCCATAGTTAATCGCCATCCGCAGTGACCAAGAGGGGCTGTTTTAGGGTAAAGATCTTAAAAGAAGCCATTTGATAAAGGGGTTAGCAATCAAATGGAAAGAATACAACCAAAACAAACCAGTTCACTACCCCCAAGAATAAAAGGTCGATAGATTGCAGGCCTAGAAGTTCTGTGATAAACAGTAATCCAAGGGGGGAAAGTGCGCTTTAAAACATCTGCTGCCAGGGCTATAAAACAGTTGGATTTACAGCTTGCCTCTGCCAGATACCCATGTGAAGTCTTTTCAAGGAATTCCCTCTTTACAATGGTCAGGCCAAACCTTGGCTCTGTTCTGTGACACCCTCCAAACGCAGAACACACACGTGCAAACACAAGCACACACCCATAGATACAGACATACAAACACACACACACACATGCACACTCCCAAACACATACACACATAGAGACAGACACCTTCACACAGCATATACACAACATCAGGCACACAAACACTCCTAAACACCCAGGGGCAGTCACAAACACACACATAGATACACACAGACATACACTCACACAAACACAGAGAGGCAAGCACACACAAACACACACAGAGCAGACATATAGACATGAAGGCACACAAAAACACTCTGACAAGAACACACTCACATTGGAGGTTTATCTTCACAATAACCTTTATGCTGCTGGTTCTAAGACTTTTCTACCCATATTAGGGAAAAAGTTTCTTCGTACCCAGAAAGATGGTTTCCAGATAGAGAGGAGAACTGTTTAGATTAAAAAAAATACAGGTCTTGATGTTTCGCGCCGGGGAGTATAAACACTTCGCAATACTGTATTTCTTCACGAGTGGCGCGGATAGTAACAGCAAACCAGTACAGCATTTTCTAAATCTCCGAAAATACTTGGAGAGGAAAGGAAAGGTTAGGATGACCAGCATGGGGCGACTACATTTGTATGTATCGGTCGATTTATGCCACCCAAGATTTATATTGTAAACTTGATATTAAAACATTCACCATAAAAAGGCAGATCGTCAAGGTAAAGAAGCCTCTCAGTAGCATCAAGCCATTACTATCCAAATCACTGGTCATTTTCTTCCCAGACAGCAATGTTATTCTCACTTTTCCGCCTATGTTTCTCTCTTCTGAAAGCAGCTCCAGTTTTGTGAAAAGAGAGAAAATAAAAATCTGAAATAAACTACTTGAGAGGTTGTTCGTTTTTTTTTTTTTACAAATATGGGGTTTAGCTTCTGATTTGCCTTTTTTCCTTCACATCATCAGCATTTAAAAAAAATAAACATTACCCTTATTAAATATGCCCACGAAGAAGTCAGGTCTCTTTAAAACCAAGTCCTAAAATATTTAGCGCATTTCAGGCTCATGCCCCTTTTACAAAGCTATCTCGCTGTATATACACCCAGGGTCAGTTCTGTATACTGAATATATAAATATTGTTATCAAGAGCAAACTTTATACATTCACTGCCCATAGAGGCCCATGCAAACGGCATTCTAGCACTGAGGTGAAGTTTATACAACTTTAAACTCAGCTTTACCATCTGTTCCTTTGGTTTTAAGAAGGAAAAGAATCTAAACCAAAGCTTTAAAAAAAGAATAAGAACACGGTTAGTGCACGCTTTCAAATAGGGTGCTGGCAAAATAATTCTCTAGCTACAGTTCACATCGTCAGCATAGGCTTTATTTTACATGCTTACAGTTGGGGAAACTGTCCAGGGATCATGCCAGACTATTATTCTCTCCCCTCTCAAACTTAAGTCCTAGGTATCTCTGGTGCAGAGGATATACCGCACTAACTCATTTTAATTTAACAATTTCCCCCCCAAAATTGTTAAATTAAAATGAGTTAGTGCGGTATAGCCTCTGCACCAGAGATACCTAGGACTTAAGTTTGAGTCAGCGAGATCAATGGGGTTTTGCCACTGACTTGCGGATTTTGTTTGTTTGTTTGTTTCCCCTCAGCCTCCCCGCCCCCCAATTTATTGAAAGTATTCTACAAACTAGGATATCTGTATTTAAGCATTGAAATGAACATGGCGCGTGGAGGGATCGAATTTTTTACCTGCCAGGACCTCCATAGCCTGGAAAGTGTATAGAAGGTATTTTCCTTAACATAGGATTTTAGGGGATTATTTGTTGTTATGCAGTTTAGACCCATATTTTTAAAAAAAACGTCTTGGATTCTAATGGGAAGTAAATTGTAACGCTTTAACAATCATCTAATCTGGATACTTTAATAAGAGAGGAGTCTAAGTAGCCCTTGATGAGGCTAGAGACATGGGCTAGATAAAGTTATACATCCAGACTTCAGAGCTGTTGCCAAACAAGTAAATTAACCTGCTGGTTCAAACAATAACTTTGGGATTATGCCGTTCCCTAACACGAGACTTCAAGACCCTAGTCAAAGCTCCTTTGTCCTGCTGTCCAAACTTGGGGTCATGACCTAGCTAATGCAAAGCAAACCTGCGAGTAAACACTTTATTGGGTCTTCTTTAAATATTTATAGGTACTTCAGGGGAACTGGTTTTGGGGGATTTCAGAGAAGCCAGACAGACGTTTTGCTGCATGCACGCCCCAGAAGTAAGCCAAATTGTATCTAGTCATTGCAAATAAAATAACCATAATTTCATGGACAATCCTGATAGCAGGTTGCTTCTACTTTTGGGGTCTCGCAGCGTTTCGGAAGGTTAACCAACTTCCAGGCTGTGTGGGTGTGGGAGTCTGATACGTTTTGATTCTGTCTCTATATGTGTGAGGTTTTGTACAGACGAATGTATATGTAAAAGGCACACATGAGCATAAACACGTGGGTGTATGTATATTTGTGTGTAAGCATCTACTTTTAATTATCCATATATATGCCGGTGGATGTCTTTCTGTATGTATTTATGTGTGTGTGTGCATATACTTTTAATTCTCCGTGTGTGTGGTTATGTGTATATACATTTACTTTTAATTCTCTGTGTGTACTTTTAATTTGCAAGGCTATTACTCAAGGGAATCTTGCACTCAAAAGCTGCAAAGCCCTTTAAGCCTGTTAAAGTTTCTGCTTAATAATAATGTAATGAATTGAAAATAAATGTATTAATGTGTGATTCAGTGAGGTTCACAAGTAGTAAGCAGAGGGGAGCACTCTATGGAGGAGTGAGCTTGGGTGTGGGGAAGGGGTTGGTTAAAACAATATACTTCCTTTAAAAAGAGAAGTATCGGGAAAGATTTACCTTAAATATTTTTATACCTTGTAATAAATTAATTCTTTTATCCCGTGCTGGAGCATACCCTTTTGCGTGTGTTACAATTGGTATTTTATGGTCTTGTGAGACTGTTTATTATGCACTCCTCTTTCTTTGAAACTCGACTTTAGTTATATTCTGCTCTACTTCCAAGAGAGGTTGGCTATCTTTGGGGTAATTTTTTTTTCAGAGGTATATTGTCCTTAATAATTTCACTTTTCCTGAGAAGCAATAAGTATGAGGCATAAATAATCATTCAGAGGGGGGTGGGGGGATGGATGGGAGTTAACATCTGAGCCCCAGAGAAATGAAACTGTTTAGCTGCAAAAGTAATAACACAGATATTTATGAGTGACTAAACAGACCCAAACAGAATTGATTGAGTGACAGCTGTCACAGTGAGCGCATCAGAATTAAACTTTATGAAAAAGCCCTAAAGTTTGAAATAGTAATTTTAATAACACCGATCTCTCTCCATACTCAGTAACATGTGTATATTACTTATACATTGCACTATATATATATTCAGAGTTATTTTTCTTGGCTACCCCGCAATTACTTATAGGTTGCTTGTTTGCTTCTCAGAAAGAGTTACACAAAGGAAAAAATATTACTGAACAGTGTATAACATTTAGCACCAGAACAGCAAATAGATCCTTTAGAGGAGGAAAGAAGAAGCTGTGAGATCCGTAGTACAGACAAAAAGTGAAGAAAATAAAATGATCAAAATATCCCTGAAAAATGAACTCCAGAAACAGCTAAAGATTTTAATACAAAGATTGTTTTTTTTTTTAAATCTTTCTTATTTTAAAGCAAAGTATCTATCTATCTATCTATCTATCTATCTATCTATCTATCTATCTATCTATCTATCTATCTATCTATCTATTGTATGGTTTAGGGAAATATACAATACATATGATGGATTAGGTAGCAATGGAAACTTTAATTTAGGAATGGGAAAAAATAATGTAGGAAAAGTGAATAATTTACAAAGCAATATTTAACTCCCTACCTAGAAATAAACCAGCCTCTCTTTCTCTCTCTCTCTCTCCCTCCCCCCCCCCCCCCCAC